TAGAGGGCAGTGTCACTGGCCCTCATATGTGGGATCCGAACCGGGGCCCTCTGGCATCCCAAGCGAGTTCTTAACCATCGCGCCACTCGGCCGGCCCTGGTTGTTTTTTTTAAAGAGGAGTGGTACATGATCTTTGGAGTCAGACTGCTTTTGAATCATGGATCTACCAAAGTTAAGTAGTTACTACAAGGAATATATGGCCTCAAAGCATGAAATATTTACTGTCTGGCCCTTTGCAGAAAAAGTTTATCAACCAGCCCCTGCTCTAGAAAGAATACACCGGCATCTTTCCACCTCTTTTAACATGAGGCCGTCTTCACCACAGGACCTTTACACATACTGATTCCTTTGCCTAAATTGAGTCTCACATCTCACATCTAATCCTCTTCTGTCAATACTACTCATACTCATCACCTCCCTGGGGAGGCCTTTGTTGTGCCCACCCCACTCTGAATTAGATTAACTATCTTGTTATACATTCTCATAGCATCCCTGGTAGAGCTTATCGTGATGGCAATTGCCCCAATTATCTGTGTTCTTATTTCTGTAATGTTTCATTCCCCTGTAGACTGCAAACCCATAAAAAATAATCTTGTTCAATGCTGAATTTCCAGTGCCTAACAAAGTGCCTGGAATATAATGGATACATGCATGCATGAATGACATAATATATAAAAGGTACTTACTGTCTGGCATATACTGTATAAAATATACTTTATAACAAACAGTTCACATAATAGATGTGTAAATGTTTAAGAACACAAATGAAGGGTTGGACATCCTGAAATTAAATCCCAGTTCTTCCATTTAATACATGAGGAACCTTAGACAAATCCCTTAACCTCTTTTGCCAGTTTTCCATCTGTAAAATGGGCATAATATTAGTATCTACCTCATGAGGTTTGCAATGAAGATTAAATAGTTACCACATAATGTGTTTAGCATAGAGCCTGGCACACATTAAGTGTCCAATAGATGCTATCTATAATTATTGTTATTAATTATCTTTTTAATTTTTATAGTGCAAGTCTTAGATAGATGGCAGATATTATTACCCCCACAAAATTGACTCCAGTGTGCCCTGAAGTCAGGAATACTGGGACAGGGTAAGCCAAGGTTTCCTCTTTCACTCACACTCCCAACACAGCCAGACATAAATCAAGCCAGAGCCATGGTTAAGCAATATTCTTTCTTTAATTCCCCTTTGCAAATGGAAGCCCCTGAGCTGGTCCCCACCCCCACCCCTATTCCATACCCTGGGCCTCCCAGATGCAAGGCCCTTGCCTCAACCTGGCGGGAGGAAAAGAAGAACACTCCTTCCCCAGGATGGTCCATTAAAAAAAATCCTAGTCACTTAAGAAATGAGGCTGGGGGACAGGAGAAGGGAGCTGGAAGACAAGGCCCAGGTCAGGCCAGATTGGAGATATTGGGGTTATGAGGACCCTTGAGAAGGGTTTGCAAGCACATCCCTAAGCTCAGGGCCAGCATGGCTGAGGGAAAGGAGACAGACAGACAAATAGTCTGACTCCTCAAGGTCCTGTCTGCCTTGTGAACACTGACACTCACCACCACCACCACCACCACCATCACCACTGGCCTCTAGATGGAGAATTTTCCAGTTATTCTGGGATAGGGTTTGCTAAGCATCCCCTCTGGCCCCTGATCTGGGGTATCCCTGGGGTCCCCCTGAAACCAAACCTGGGAGAAGGAGGGACTCTAGGAACATGCAAAGGGGGGGAGTGGAGACCCCCGCCCCACCGCGCTGCTCTACAGGATGGTGGCTCCAGCTGCATCTGGGCTCCGAGGGTCCTTCACACCGATGATGAAGGTGTTGGTTCTCCGGCTGCCGTGGACCCAGGATAAGACATCTACCTTCTCCACGTGGTGACCCCTGGCTTCCAGGAACTCAATCTCTTCCTCTGTGAACTCATCTGAAAACCATTCCCCAACATACACACATTCAGAGTGTTCAGAGCACTAGCTCAGGAGTCCTATGTTCAGACCTGAGTCTCCGTTCTGGACGCTCCACTGAGGAGCTGTGTGACCTTTGGCAAATTATTATACTTTACCTTTCTGAGCCTCAGTCTCCTCATACATAGAGTGGGGATTACACGAGAACCTACTCTATGAAATTGTTGCAGGGGTTAAAGGAGGTAATGCACAGAAAGCACTGAGCTCACAGCATTGCATACATTAAGTGATCAATAATATATGGTCATTCTTCACATTGGAAAAAGCGTTTTGGTGTCTTACCTCCACCTGCCTAGGCCACGCTGCCATCATTACTTGCCAGGATTACTGCATAGGCCACTAACTGGTCTTTCTGCTACCAGTCCTGCCTTCCTTACAGCTGTCACAGGGATCCTTTTAAACCATTAAACCGTGTCACTTCCCCTACTCAAAACCCTCTAACAGCCTTGATGACTCTTAGAATAAAATCCAAAGTCCTTTCCAAGGCCTCTAAGGCCCATCTGGGGACCTCACTACCTCTCTAAACTCCTCACTTCTTTCCACTCTCTCTAACTCTGCTCTAGCCTCCTCGCTGTCCTTCAAGGCCAAACATGCTCCCACCTCAGGGCCTTTGCACTTGCTGTTCTCTCTGCCTGGAATGCTCTCCTCCTACAGAGTCATAAAACTGGCTCCCTTAGTTCATTCCAGTCTTCAAGGAGAACTTCCCTGATCATTATCTAAAACAGCAGCCCATTATCTTCACCTTGCTTGTTTTCTTTCAAAGTACTTAATGCTCCCTGTATTTCTTTATGTATTTACTGTGTCTCCCTCCACTATAGATTATAAGCTTTTTGAAGGAATGGATGTTATTTTGTTCACTATTGTTCCCTAGTGCCTAGAACAGGGTGAAGGCGTAGTAAATTTTAAGCAAGTATTTACTGGGTAAATGAGCAAATCCCCATACTTTTGCATAAGTTCAGATCTTCATCATCTCTTGCTGGGCCATTATCCCGGGTGCTTCTTGTATTTCCCCAACTTAAGTTCTCCCTTCAATCCACCTCCCCTACATAAAACACATCAGCTCATATCCCTCCCCTTTTCCACTGGATAAAGTCCATGCTTCTTAACATGGACCTCCATGATAATCCCTGCAACCTCACCTCCCACTGCTCCTAACAAAGATATGGTCTTATTTCCCCGAATGAGATGATTTGGGGGGTAGTTCTTGAGATAAAAGACACAACATTGAATAGCACTAAATCACCAAGTCTTGTGGTTCACTTTCAATCCGTTGGACATAACAAGGCCTAAATTGCAGTCTGGTCTCTAACATTTCTAATCTTCCTTAACAGAGACAGCAGGCCTCAGAGTCTTTCAGGGGCAACAATATCTAACTGAAAGCTAAACATATTGGATTTTTAAATAATTATTTATCATCTATTTGTGGCAAATGATGTCATTTTTCCATTTGGGATTATGATATAAGATTTACTTTAAAAATACATTTAGGTTAAAAAGGAAGTCCATTTATAGATATACATTATGTGAATAATGGTTTAGATGGTGTGTAAATGTGGCAAAAGTCAGAAGGTGATGGGTAAATTCTGAAGTTTGGGACACAGTGTCTCCTGGCTGCTCCCTGAGCCATTCTCGCTGGCTTTTGCCCAGGCTGTTCCCCTGTGCAGAATGTTCTTTACCTCCACATGCCACATTCCTGCTCATATGAAGGCCCAGCTGTTACCTCCTCCATAAAGCCTACCAGAGTCCTCAGGGAGGATGAAATTTCCCTTTACCAAGCATCCACTCCTCATATCCCTGTTTTAGACTGTGAACCCCTCAAGGGAGGGCTAGGATGAGCCCCCCCCCCGGCCCCCGCAAGTAACTAAGCACAAAGCCTCTTCTAATAGAGACCCAAAGACATTAGTTGAGCAGAATTCATTTTCAAGGTGTTAAGCTCATCCTCCATCAGCTGGGATCCAAAGTGTCACCTGCCAACTACAGGGGTTACTGCTGAAGGTTCAGGTCTGTGGCTTCTAATATGCTTCAGTCCGGGAGACACCTAGAGACATGTAATAAAGAACTGAGTCTTTGGTATGAGGCTCTCCTCTCAATTCTTCCACTCACTGGTTGATCCTTGACTACTTTATAATCTCTGTGGGCATCGATTTCTTTATCTGTAAAATGGGAATAACACCAAGCAGGCAAGGACCATTTCTCATTCAATTCTGTCTCCCCTTTGGGCTGGCATAATCCATTGTCTGTTGTAATAAAAACTCCTCAAAGGTGCACATACTTTCCCGTTTACAAAATTAAGCTGTGTCCAAAATTAAGCACCTGTGCTTAGAGGAAAGTCTATGTCCTCACCATAACCTATAAGGTCCATGATCTGGCCCCTCTCTGCCTCTCTGATCTCATCTCACCCTCACTCACCCTGGTTTCCTTTCTAATCCTAAAACACACCAAGCCCATTCTTGTCCTGAATTCTTTGCGTTTGTTCCCTTGGCCTACAAAGCCTGCCCCAGTTCTTTGCATGGTGGGCTCTTTCTCACTCTTCAGATCTCAGCTTAAATGTCGCCAAAGAGAAGCCTTCTCCAATTACTGACTCAGTCCTATATATTCTCCTGCGTTCATGCACTGCAGAAGATTTATTTTGTTTTCTCGTATTGCTTTGATTATTTATTTTCCTGTCTGCCTGGAAATGCAGTATCCCCAACACCTAGGATAATGGCACACAGTTGGTAGTCCATACAAACTGTTGAATGAATGATTTGCAGAACGAACAACTGAATCTTATTTTACAAATGAGAAAACTGAGGCTCAGAGTGGAGATGTGAATTTCCTACCCAGCCAGCAAATTGCGGGACTGGTTCCAGTCCCCAGATCTTTCACTGTTTCAATAGGAGTTAGGTGGAAGAAACCAAACTTTCAATGGCAGGGAACTGGTCGAGGCAGGGGTACCCACAGAAGGAGCCTCTTTCTCCACCCGCCCCTGTGCCCACCCCATGGGGATCTCTTCTCTGCACTCACGGTCCACCTGCAGGAGGTTGGACTGCAGGTCAGGGTGCAGGCGGCCACGGGCCAGGCTGTCACTCAGGTTCCGGTTCAAGGTCAGGACATTCAGCAGAACCTGCCGGAAGCCAAGGGGCAGAGTTAAGGCTGTCCCTGAGATGGGGGTTCAGGACTCTGCAGCCCTGACCCCTGTCCAGACTCCTGAGTCTTTAGAGTCCTTACACCTGGGGTGTCATCTAAGCCTTTCAACAGCCCCAGAATTCAGGCACGTCTGTGATGACTGTCCCCATTTCACAGCGGGAAAACTGAGGGCCAGAGAAGAAGAGTGATTCACTCTAGAGCAGCGGTTCTCAACCTTCCTAATGCCACGATCCCTTAATACAGTTCCTCATGTTGTGGTGACCCCCAACCATAAAATTATTTTCATTGCTACTCTATAACTGTAATTTTGAATTACTGTTATGAATCGTAATGTAAGTATCTTTTTGTTTTCCAATGGTCTTAGGCGACCCCTGTGAAAGGGTCGTTCGACCCCCAAAGGGGTCGCGACCCACAGGTTGAGAACCGCTGCTCTAGAGTTTAGAGAGAGCCAGAGAAGAGGCACCACTAGCACCCAGGCTCCTTTAATCTAACCCAGGCCTGTTCTCCCTTCTCCCTGGCCTGGACAGGCTTAATAGCTGGGGGTTGTCTAGGGAACAATGTGGATACTTTTAGCTTATTGGTTGGGAGTGTGGAACCAAACTACCTGCTCATTCTTACTAAACTGGACCTAACTTCTTAATCTCTCCAGGCCTCAGTCTCGTCATATATGAAATAGAAATAAGGGTTTCTTCCAAAATTAGAAAGCTTAAAAGGGTTAACGCACGTAACACCATGCCCAGCACTTAGTAAGAACTCCATAAATGTCAGCTAATGTTTTTACTTCCATTTTACAGATGAGGAGATTGAGGTTCAGAGAAGTGAATTCCCCAAAATCACACAGTTGGAAATTGGCAGCACTAGGGCTGGGACCCAGGGGTGTCTGATTCCAAAGCTCAGGTTAGTTAACATACCACCTGCCAAAGTATGTGCCTGGCACATAGATCAGGTGCTCAAGACATTCGTGGAACTGTTATGAGGCATTTCGGAGAGTAGCAGACCCTTCCTTTCAAAATCAAACCCTAAAGAGGGCTGCTCGTCTATTCAAATGCTGAGTAGAGGCATGATGGCACTTCAGATTGACAGGACCCAGGCAGCCCAGATCCTCCATCACCCTCAATTCTACTGGCCCTGCAATTTCCCCTGCAACCTGGGAAGACAAGGAGCTTCAGGGCTTCATTTTCACTAAGAAACAGCACAGCCCATGTCCCCAGTGCCCAGGATGAGCCTGGCACAAAGCAGCCTCAGCTCATGTTTGCTGTAAGGGAAGAGAACAAGCAAGAGACATGAAGGGCATCCGTGGCCCAGGCCACAGCTTGGCTCCTGTCCACACAAGGCCTACCATGGAAGAAAGCTCACCTGGGTCAGGCCGCTGAGGCCCCGGGCAGCTCCATTGGCGCCCAGGGCGAGGTAGGTTCCACAGAGCCCCTCCGCTGGCCGGACCACGGTGGGCAGCAGAAAAGACAGTGGCCGCTTTCCTGGCTGTACCGAATTCTCCTGTTATCAGAGGACCGAGACCACAAGGGGGATGAGAGGTGGAGCGAAATAGGGTAAGGGCTACTTCACCATTCTTCCAACCTCTCTCCCTCTCCTGCATCTTCCATAGGCACACTTTTCATGAGAGGCTGGTCTCTCCCCAGGCCAGTTTGCTACCTGTGAAATGGGCAGGCTACTTGGATAACGGGTGGATAGTGGACCCACTAAGCTATGAGGCTGTTATGGGGCTACCATGGGTGGCAGGGGAGGGGACTAAGCCAAAAAAGATGGCTATGGGGAAGAACAGGATAATCTCCATCCTGGTCATCTCTGTCTTTGTCCTGACAGGGACCCCAGCCTGCAGGGTGTAAGAGTGCTGGCCTCCAACTATGACAATGATTCCTGCCTCCTTCCTCCTTTGATGCTCAACAATAGGGCCGAGACTCAGCTCAGCATCACATAGTCATAGACCATTAGTGCTAAAAAGTGCCCAAAGCATGAAATCGGGCCAATATCTTCATTGTACAGGTGAAGACACTGAGGCCTAGAGAGGGGGCAAGACTTTCCCTAGGTCACACAGTGAGTCAGTGACAGAATGAGACAAGGTTTCTTCAGACCCACCGGGCTCGAAGCCCCCGACTTGGGCTGGGGATGAAGTGGACACCTTGTTTAGACTCCTTTTCTTTATAATAAAGTTCCTGGAGGAAGTCGGGAGCGAGGGGCAGCCATACTGCAGCATACCCTACCTAGCCTTGGGGTCCCCAGGGTAGGAGGGAAGTAAGATCCTACCAGGCTGGGTGCAGAGTGGTTAGCAGTCCTATTGGGCCAGGAGAAGTCCAGCATCTGGCTGTTGAGCAGGATCCCCGAGGGCGTGATGAGGCCACTGCCAAAAGGCCGGTTCAGGGAGCTGGGGACCAAGATTGGGGCCAGGTGAGCCCTGAGCACACCTTCACTTCCACCCAGCCCCCACCCTCCTTCTTGGTTCACATGATCCCTTGGGCCAGGTTTTGAGTCTGAGCTGGCATACCTGACCATGGCCACGATGAAGTCGTCAGGGCCCATGATCAGCACCTGGGCAGCCGTGGGAGCCCCGTCCAGCTCGTAAACAGGCAGGAGTGGGGCAGGGGCTGCCTGGGAGTCACTGATGTGGCCCCGGAGGTAGGCAGCCTCCACCTTGCTGAAAAGGCACGGGGCAGATGAACTACAGCAGGCTTTCATTACATCCCACCTATCACACTTTGTGATGTCTGTTTGTGCAATTATTTGATTAACATCTGTCTCCCCCATTGGACTATCAGGTCTATGAGAGCAGAAGCTTACTTATTCCTAGCATATAGGGAATATCCAGGAAATAGTTGTTAAACTGAATGAATTTGTTACTCAGGTTCTCTCCTAGAGTCAACTTTTATTTAGTATTTAAATCGAGTCTTTTAGTTACTTGACTTTACTCATTTAATTCTTTCTATGAAAGTACCTGGAGCATAGTGGATGCTGAGAAAATATTTGTTTTGCATGAATAAACTGAATTCGTTTAACCTAATATTTGCGGTCCAGAACTAAAGTTTTAATAAGAGTGTAGTGTGTGTGTGGGGGATTATATACAGGAATCTTTACTTGCTATTAGAATTTTATTTTTTAAGGAAGGAGGACTTTGCACATAGTAAGCCTTTAATAACTATTTATTGGATGAATTAGTTGAATGAATTTAATATAGGTGTGCATATTTTAGACCTAAATTTGTATTGATCTTGAAAACAACAAATTTATGAAATTATGAAAATACAAATTTACATTAACTATTTTTGGTTTCTGATTTTTCCTTAGCTAGCCTTTAAGTCAGTTATAGTGGCAGTTAATTTGTAACCATTCTTACCCTTATGGCCAATTGATAATAATGATGGTATTTGTTGAGTATTTAATTTGTGCCAGACAACAAGCTTTGTTTGTACGATCTTGCTTGGTCCTCACCACGACCTCATGAGGTTGGCACCATTTTTGTCAGGCTTCCTTTAGAAACTGAGATTTAGAGAGTTTAAATGAGTTGCCCCAGGCTGCAAAGCTAGTGGATGGTGAATCTGGGATCTGAACTGAGGCATTCTGGTGACAGCTCACAGACTTACTACTGTGTTATGCTGCGAATGTAGATACCTTATAATAAAAATCCCCACCACTTCCAGTATTTTCTTGGAGACACCTTTCATTGTTATTAGGATTTCTTTTTCCACTCAAAAGGGGAAACAGATGGGGCCAACCGAGTGGTGCGTTGGTTGGGAACTGGCTTGGGATGACAGAGGGCCCCGGTTCGGATCCCACATATGAGGGCTAGTGACACTGCCCTCTGCAGCTAAGATACTGAACAGCAGCTCAACCTGGAGCTGGGCTGCCGTGGGTCGCCGGCGATGGCATGGGCTGCAGTCCCCTGCTGCAGTGGGCTGCCATAAGCTACCGTGTGTAGCCAGCAGCTAGCGTGAGCGGCCAGCAGCCGCCGTGAGCGACCGTCCAGAAGCCGGTGACTGATCTGCCTCACCCGGGAAGAGCGCAATGATGGTGCCAACTTGGGCCAGTGAAGCAACATCCTCCAAAACTAGACTGAGGAACAAGATGACAGCAACTTGTCTGTTCCCCTTACCCCGATTCCCCAATAAAATATTTTTTTTAAAAAGGGGGAAACAGATGGGCCTATATATGTGCCCTGCTAGTGTCAAAAAGTTTGACAGTCACATGAAGTAGACCAACTCATTGTACAGCCGGGGAAACTGACGTGCAAGGAGAGGTAACCAGAGTCACACTGTGAGTTGGGGTTGAGCTGAACTTGACCTGGGACTTCAGGCCTTATTGCTCCACTGGCTGCTTTTCACCTGATCCTTTCCCCACCACCTCTGCAGTCCCCAGGGTCTTGCCTTGGGACCCACCTGAGCATGTCATCCATGCTCTCAGTGATGGTAGAATCGTAGATGGGGTCTCCCAATCTGCTGGCCAGGGCTAACGCAATCTTCAGCGTCTGAAAACAGAGCAGGGGTGTGGAAGAGGCCCTTCCCAGCACCCACACCCAGGATCTTCATGTGTGAGAAAACTTCGAGGATATTTAGTCCTGCCCCATGGCAGTACCCCATCCCCCCACTTCCAGTGTCCCCAAACCCAAGGCGGGATGGAGGGGTTGGCCTTACCTCTGCCACCCAGTGAAGAGCCTGTTCCCGGGATACCAGGCTGGTGAGATTGAAGCCCTCGAGGATGTTGAGAGCACTGATGAGGGCAGGGCCTGTGTGCGGGGGTGGGGGGCTGAGAACCAGGTGGCCTGAAAGGACAGGGAATGACCAGATGGCAGGGGAGGGGTCAAGTCATCTCCACATGCCACCATCACACAACGTGAGTTCAGACCACTGCACTGAACCCCCTCATTAGATAGGGAAACTGCATTGAGAAGAAAAGCATTGAGAGGCAAAGGGACCCACGGATGTTCACATGGCGAGTCAAGGACAGGGCCAGGACTCCAGCCCAGAACACCGGCCTTCAGTTTCCTCTTCCAAATGAGGAAACTGAGGCTCAAAAGGATTATTTGCCCAGAGTCACAATGCAGGCCACTGGCAGAGCAGGGACAGGTATCCAGATGTCCAGATTCCTGGCCACCATGTGTCCCCTTTCAGCTCCTCCCACAGGCCAGGATACTATTCAGAGCCCCTGATGGTCGCACCCCTGAAACTTCTTGGGAGCAGCAACCTCCTCTTCCTATGTAAGACCCCTGTTATTAGATGTTTGGATATCAAAAGAATAATAATACCTGACATATAACAAACAGTAACTAATTAACTCATTGAATCTTCCCAATGGGTACTGTTATCATCCCCATTTTACAGGTGAGAAAACTGAGGCACAGAGAGGCAGCTGGTCCAAGGTTACAGGAGACAAGGGGAAGCCAGAACACTCAAGGTACAGGCATTGCCAAGAGAACACAGGCTGGGGAGGGGAAGTGGAAAATCAAATATATATTCAGTGGCCACTCTGATCAAGGCAACTTCCAACATCATCTCATCAAATCCTCATGGTTGCGCTGAGAGGTAGGCACTATTATTATCTCCATTTTAAGGAGGGAACCAAGGCTCAGAGTGGGAAATGACTTGTCCAAGGTGAATGGTAGAGCTGGTACTTGAACCCAGGTCTTCCTGGCTCCAAAGCTATGCTTTTCCTCTGCTCCATATACCACTGCCTCTGGTAGAGGAATCAAGCTGGGGACTGAGGGCCTGGAAACCTGAACTCAGAGGCAGCCTCTCCTGGGGCTTGAGGTGAGCTGGGCCTCCTGGAGGAGAGAGAATCTGTGAACCTCCGAAGGGATCTAGCAACCCACCACCTTGGGTTCAGCAAACATGGACTTCACCCATGTTATAAGCTTGGCTTTCTGGGTTCTTCATTGTGAGTTTGACCGGTTAAGTTCTATTCCTTCCCTGGGCTCTCAGTTTCCTTTTGGCACAATGAGGGGGCAGGTCTTTGATTGTCTTGAAGTTTGTTATAACCAGAAGCTTAGATGGACTTTGGTCTTACATATTCTTTTTAGGAAGTGCTTGGCATTGAGAGTGGGACTGGGGGTGGGGCAAGGCAACACAGAGCCCAAATCAAGAAAACCTATGACTGGAACCCCAACTTCCAGCCCTGAGCCTTGCCCAGGCCTCCCTCCCCATATCCTAAATACTTTGGGTAACTGACTCTATGACTACTTAGAAAGGTAGGCTGGCTCTGGCTTGCTTCAACAGTTAGCTGCCCAGGTAGCTCACTGCCTCAGTTTATCTCATGTAAAATGGGAGGAGTCTTTAGGCCAGAAGCATGTGGCCATGGACTGGGAGGCTTCTCCTTGGACCTGGGGGAGAGGTCACCTCTGTATACTCCACACACAGGTTTCTCCACGAGGGCACTGTAGTTGCTGAAGTCTTCCTCAGTTATGACACCCCCTGCGTGCTGAGCCTGGAGGGGAGAGAATGACCCACCACCACCATGAGCCACACACCACATGGTGAGCATGTGGACTTAGCCTCTAGTATATGTTTGCATCACAGAAAGATCAGATGTTTATAATGTTTGTGCCTTCTGCAACTCTCATCGTGACCCCATCAGCCCAGTGTACCCCAGGAAAAAGGAACAAGGAAAAGCACTAACACTAAGCACCTATTAGGCGCCAGACATTGTGCTGGGTACATTTTATGAATGACCTCCTTCGCTCGGCATTCAAGGCCCCTTGTGATCTGGCCCCTGCCTACATCTTCCACCTCGTGTCCTGCTGTTTCCCAAGGAGCCCTGTACAGCCACTCGGAGGGACCTATAGTTCCCGAACTCATGATTCCATATCTTTGCACACACTGCCCTTTCTGCCTATGTGAAAAAAAAAAGATTTTACACTTACAGCAGCACTTGTCTGAGAGACATCAAAACTGAATTCTGCACTTCACTACAACCAATGAAAGCCACTACAAAACCATGAACTCTAGATGACCCTGGTAAGAATGGTGGTCACTGAGCACTCTAATGACCGATGAACTAATCTTGTACAAGTGGGCTCATTCCATCCTATCCAGCATGCTAATTTTCAGTCCTAAATTAGCATAACACTAGGAATCCTCTCCTTTTTCAGCATTTGAAACCTCTTCTAATCCACCCTCAGCGAATTATACATTGAATGTCTTGGCTGGTGTGTGTTCCTTTGTCTAGCAAGTTAATAAATTCAAGTTTGGTGTTTTTTTTTCTTTTAAAGCTCTGATTCCCTTCTCCACCTCTAGGAGAGGACACACACCCCGGGTCTGGCTAATCAGAGCATTCCTTTTCATGGCTCAGTGATTGGTTTGGGAACAATCATGAGACCTATGACAAGCTGATGAGACATAACCTTGAGGCTTGTGCTGCCACTACCGAAATGAGAAATGTTCTTTCTCTGGGATGGCTTGCTGGAAGGATGGCTGGTGGGGAGCAGGTATGGAAAGAATCCGACAGAGAGTGAATTCAAACAGCGGAAAGAAGAGTCATGAGACAGAACGAGAGATAGACCAAGTCTTAACAACATGGATGGAGCCCTTGGATGCAGCAGACCTAAAGCCAGCCAGCACTCTGCTGGACTTTCCAGTTAAGTCCATTTGAGACGGGCTTCTATGACCACATGATATCTCCAGTGCCCAGCACAGGGTGTGGCAGAGAACGAGCACTCCATGAATGGAGAATGAATGAAGGATCTGTCAGCCCCATTACACTGAGGAGAGAACCACTGAGCTGGTCTGTGTATCCTTATCTTGAACATAATTTCCCATTAGGGGTTTTGAACTGTTGACAATAGTTCTCAGAACCCCATATCCTAAATACTTGCAGTAACTCACTCTGACTACTTCAGAAGGTAGGCTGGCTCTGGCTCAGACTAAGTCTCTTCGGGGTTGGTTGGTAAGCCCTTGTGTCAACCCCCCTAGTCCTAACAGTTACCAGTGAAAGAGGTGTTTCCCTCAGTCCCTAGAAAACCCAAGGTCAGGGTGGGATTGTGGGCTCACGGAAGCTGAGGCTGATCCTGGGTCTCCACCAGGCTTGGGAGAGACAGGACAGGTCCCAGCCCTGGGGAGCCCAAAGGTGCTTCTCTCAATCAAGACAGAACATTTCCATCACCCCACGAGGCTCTTCCTGTACATCCCAGTCAACCCCTCTCTCCCCAACAACCACTGTTCTGATTCCTATCATCAGAGGTTAGTTTTGTCTATTCTAGAATTTCAAGGAAATGGACTCCCCAGTAAATACGTGTAGAAAGAAAGACAGGGAAGAAAGGAAGGAAAGAAGGAAGGAAGGGAGGGAGAGAGAGAGGGAGGGAGGGGTAAGAGGACATCCCTGCAAAAGGGTTCTTAGGGGTTGAGGGGCTTCCTACACACTCACCTCTGCCACCATCTCCAGTGTGAGGTTGCCAGCCGCATAGAAGGCAGCGGGGCCGTAGTTGCCTAGAGTATCCAGCACTGCGGCCAGGTCAGGCCGATGCATCAGTGAGCCAGGTAGTGGTGGGTGGCCCGAGGGCAAGAACGTCTCACGGAAGCGCTCAGATGCATTGGGCGGCAGCAGTTCAGCCAGTGCATGGGCTGTGCGCAGGGACAGGAGGGTGGGCAGGGGATGCCAGGGCTAGACCCGATGGCTGAGATGCACAATAGGTGGGGTAGATGGAGGCTGAGTGGCCAGCCCTAAGAGCTCTGGCCCCCCAGGAGCCTGTTATGGGGGAGATGGGGGTATATATGGGCCCCTCCCCAGATCTCCTCAGCAGAGGCTACCTCCTGGTAAGGGTGGGATGGGGTGGGGAGGGGGTCTGAGGAGCAAACTGGATGAGAGATGCTTTCTGGCTTGGGTACCAAATCTCAGAGGTTCCCTCTCCCCTCTTTTTTTTTTTTAGCTGAGCCATCCTGCCACCTGTTGGCAGCTCAGCGGCTGCTCAGCTCGGGCTGACTCGAACCGCTGTTGCTCAGAGCTCAAANGCGGCTGCTCAGCTCGGGCTGACTCGAACCGCTGTTGCTCAGAGCTCAAACTCTTGAGCGAGCTCTTAACCAACTGAGCCACTCAGCCGGCCCACCCTCTCCCCTCTTCATCAACCTCATGCCTTTCCCCCGACCCCCAGGCCCCACTGACCTAGATCATGGGTCACGTTGAAGCCATCTTGGGCCACAGCTTCTGCGAAGGCCAGGACTTGGGACCATGGCAGCCTGAGGGGGCCGGAGAGCAGGGGGTGGAGGAGGTCCTAGGGGGAGGAGGAGGGGTCCTGGGGGGAGGGGGGTTCCCGGGAAGAGAGTCCTGGCAAGGGAAGGTGGTATTAGGAAGGGGAGTAGGGAAGGGAAGAATCCAGGAAGGTAGGAGAAGGCCACCACAGGAGGGGTGCAGGCAGGGGCCTCTGGTCCCCAGGGGGAGGGTCTTTACCTGCCATAGAGCTGGTGAGCTTCATGTAGCCCCTTCACCATTCCAGGGACCCCCACCAAGAGCCCAGGCTGGGCAAGGCGGGCAGGCGAGGGAGAGAGGAGACCAGGTCACTGGAAGGGGGGGGCTGGGCTGAACTCTGCAGAGCCCCAAGCCAGGGATGGGGGGCTGGCACAGGGGAGAGACACAGGCCAAGTATCCCAGAAGAAGGACAAGCTGTCCCAGCAGGCATCCTCCCTCCCATTTCCCTGACTTCCTATCTGCAAATGCAGAAATGCCACCTTTATCCACCATAGTTGAAGGACTTATAAATTACGCAAACTCTCTTTAGAGCCAGAACATAATCAATTTAGATGGAAACCTGTCTATATTAGATTATACCTACTCCTGCCTTTTAAATAAGTGGGCAAGGGCCCTTTATTTAACTTTTTCATTATCGCACCACCATTACTGTGAGCTGTGATAACTCAGGAGTATGTTTGGCTCTTGCCATTGCTTTACTAAATATCTATTTTGCCAAGTTATTCTATTTCTGAGCTTGCTCTCAGTGGAGAGTAGTTTGCCTCTAGCAGTTGCTCTCCAATCTCCCAATATGTTGTAGGCTGGGAAAGTTACAGCACGCAGGCTCAGAGTGAGATGTGTGAGCGATAGTGCAGCAACTTTGACATCTCAGACTGCTCAGTGGCCTTTTTTTCCTTCTTTCCTATGTGCCAGATAGGCAAGGTCACCAGAGAAGACACTGCTGTGTTGCCTGCTATTCACTACTGAGAGTTTTTTGGTTCATTATTTTATTTGGGGGGACTGCGTGTCTTCCTCATAGCCTAGAGCATCCTGCTCTACTTACTTCCTCACCTCGACAGTAACTACTCAGCAAAGTAATGCTTAGGTTAGCAGAAGGGCAGTGCAGGGAGACCCCTCTCTTCTCACCAGGGTCCCCACCTTGGTTTCCCAGGATCTCTGCAGGGCCTCTTCCCTGAGGGCCCCAGGTGCAGACTCCCGGAAATCAATTAGCTGGCTCTTGTTTCCTCGGATGTCATGGACCAGCATCACGCCCCCACTGAGAAAGACACAGAAGGGGGAGGGTGGTGAAAAGATGCCACCCCTCCGAACAATTAAAGTGCCACCCCCTCTACCCCCAACGGTAATGGCTGTAGGCTAGGTTTGTCCTCAAGAGTCAGGTGTTTGAGTCCCCTCCCCAGCAGGGATTCAGAGACTCAGCCACACCACCAGGGTGGGGAGTGAAATTGAGGTGGGAATCCAGAGTCCAGCCTGTCATGGGACACTTTAATCCCTGATTAGGAAAAACCCAGAGACTGGGAGAGCAGGATGTTCTGCCCCCACCCCACAGCCCGAGACCACAGCTGGACCCCTGCCAGCTTCCTGCACCTGCCTCCTGGGTATGGCCCCGCTCCCTCTCCCAGGACTGAATTATGTAAGAACAGACTGTGCAAAACCAAAAGGAGCATTTCTTTGGTAGGGCCTGGAAGACTGGTCTTGCAGGAACCAAGATATAGACTTTGTCAACTTGTCCCTTTTCTGTAGCTTGTTTCCATCTGAGATGGCTGGCTTGCAGCCAAGTCACATAATAAAGAAAGCAGGACAAATAAACAATAGGGAGTGGTAATAACTATCGCGAAGTGGACAGGCATGAACCCTGTCATGGGAAGCAGCATCCATTCAGCTCCAGATAATCGCAGCCATGTGTTAATGTGGGCCCAGTGTTACCAAGTCCTTCCAGGTGCAAGAGATGTTGGAAATCTGGATTGTTATGAAAAGTCTCAATTTTTCAACCATAGGAAACACATTTTTAAAAATTTAAAGACGCAAACCAAACCAGCTAGGTGTGGCCCATGGGTGGCCAGTCTGAAACCTCTGTTTCAAGAGTTCTTAGCCTGAGATGTATTTTTGGAGGACAGGGGGTCCATAGCTTTCATCAGACTCAGGGATTTGCAACTCTAAAAGTTTAAGTATCATTGCCTTAATTAATGACAGTATACCCCCAGTTGTACCTCCCATTTTATAATCCTTTTCTAAGTAAAAAAAAAAAAAAAGAAGCTTCTGAAAACACCTACTCTGACTCCATGCAAGGAGACGGGGGTGAAATTGGGTGTAGAAAGAGAACATGCAAGGTGTTGGGGCCCAAATGCCCCTCTGCTCAAATTTGGAGACCCCCACATGAGGCCTACAGACCAGGACACAGAAGTAGCCCTGGGGTACCCCAACCTCCACAGCTGGGAGCTCCTTACCCGCCCAAGCCAGAACTGTGTGGGGCCACGATCCCCAAACACAGGGCTGCTGCCACAGCTGCATCCACCGAAGATCCCTGCTTACTGAGCACCTCGATGCCCAGTGATGTGCAACGGGCGGCATCTGTCACCACGGCACCCTGGTGGAAGATCTGGGAGGCGAAAGGGGACTAGGTGGGGACAGTAGGAGCCCCCTGCCTCCCTAGGGCACCTCCAACTAACCCCAGAACCTCCACAGGGGGTCCCTCTTGTTCTCTTGACTCTCCTCTGTGACTTTTCCCTCATTACTTCAAGTGCTTCCTACCAGATTAGGTCCCTGCCTTGCTCTGTCCCTCATGCCAGGAGCCCCTCCCCTTGGGACCTTCGTCTCCCATGTCACTGCCCTCCCTCCTTTCCAGTTCCTGGCCCAATTCCACCACTCAGCCATTCCCCAATTCCCACAGTCTTCTCAAGCCATTTCTCACCTGAGGGTCGCCGAAATAGATCTGCATGATGAGCGCCACAGTGACACCCGTGGCAAAGGTGAGGCAGGCTGTGACGATGACCGTGAGCCCGTCCTGACGGCAGGAGCACTCCGCTGCTGCGGCGGAGAACGGGTCCTTGCGCGTCTCCCGCAAAGGCGACCCGTCCTGGCTGCCCATCTCCGACGAGGACGATGGCAGCCGCTGCAGGCGCGCTGACTTCAGGAAGGAGTCTGGGTCTGCGGGTGGCCAGGGGTCGGTCTGGGCGGCTCTTGCCTCGCCCTGCCCGCCCTCCAGGCGGAGCTACTCCCCGTCTCCCATCCCCCGATCTCCCCTCCTCAAAGAAACCCCACTACCCCGCACTGCTCACCTTTCAGTGGCTCCCCTACGCACCCCCAGGGCGGATGAAGACAACAGTCCCATTGGGAAGAGGCAGGGACCCCCAGCTGGGCAGCAAGGGGGCTGGATTACCGCCCCTGGACCAAAAGGGGCCAAATTTCCGGGACCCGGGACCCAGGGCTGGGAACACTTCCCGGAGAGGCGGGGGGTTGGGCTCTCCCTGGAAACCAGATACTGCCTGAGCTTGGCCCAACCTTCTATGCAAGGAAGCAGCTACCTAACTTGAGTGGACAGACCCTGGCTTCCAACCTTGCTTCAGTTATCCATTCATTCATTTATTCATTCATTCAACAAATATGAAGGGTCTGCTATGTATTATATCTAGCCCTATGCTAGATGCGACAGGAAAGGTACAGACAGTTCCTGCCCCTGTGGGGTTCACAGACCAGTGGAGGAAAAAGGCAATAAACAAGTAAACAAAGGAGTCTATAATTACAAGTTGTGGCAGGTTCTATGAAGAAAACGAAGACTGAAATGAGACAATAGCGGTGTGTGTTGGGGGATGCTGAGCTGGGGAAATCAGGCAAGGCCTCTCAGCAGAAGTAACTTTTAGGCTGAGAGCTAAGCGGTGAGAAGGAGCCAGCCATATGTAGAGCAAGGAGTATGTAGTGTTCCAGAAAGAAGGAAAAGAAGATGCAAAGGTCCTACAGTGGGAATGAAATGGCACATTAGGTCAAAATAACCAAGCCCTGGGTGGTTCCAGTATAGTGGGCAGGGGGAAAGAGCAGTGGGGTGGATGGAGGCTAGGCCAGATGCACTGGGGCTTGTGAGAAGCTTGGATCTGAATTTTACCCTAAGAGCCATGGGGGGCGAGGGTAGGGGGTCACTGGAGAATTTTAAGTGAGAACATGAAACCATCTCTTTTGTGTTTTATTTATTTATTTATTTATTTTTTTCCTTTGCATTTTAAAACGATCCCTCTATCTGGAGAATGGATCTGAGGGGGAGAAGTAGAGGCAGGGAGACCTGAAAGCCACTTACTTGCTGAACTGACTATGGACAAGTCACTTCAAGTCATAAGCCTCACTTTCCTCATCCTAATAATGGAACCAATAATCCCTCACTGGCCAGGTGGATACAAAGATTCCATGAGGCAATGTATACCAGGCACCCTTCAGGTGTTCACTCAAAGTTATTTCCATTCTTTTCCCACCTTGGCCAGGATTGACACCTTCTTCTATCCCATAGTTCCCTTCCCTGGGTGCCATAAGCCTTGAACCCAGGCCTCTAAATGGCCTAGAGGTCCTGGGTGTTTGTGAGCAATAAATAGGTTGGTACCTTGACCTTAATACCTTGCTGTACTCAGAATGTGTTTTTAAAAGTTCATTCATTCAATAAATTTTTTTTGAGCACCTGTTACTATACAGTACGAGTATAACCTCTTTAAACGTCTGTGGGATAATGTTAAAAATTGACTTACATTTTATTTAAAATATTATTGGGTTGTCGGAAAAGTCATGATGCATTTTTGCAACAAAAAACATAGAAAAAATACGTCATGACTTTTCCGACAACCCAATATCATGGTTCACCAATGCCAACAGGATAAAAATCCAAGCTCCTTGACCTGGTGTTCAAGGCCTTCCATAATCTACACTCTCCTCTTTTATGTAAATAAGAAACCACATACACATATTAGATTACTTTTAGAAGTTATTTATGGTGGTTACTTTTGTGAAATGATACTGAAGGCGGGAATGAGATGGGGTGGGAGAATATTTTGTATGAAGTTTTTACTACTTAGATACATTTGTTATTTTAAAAATCAATACATATTTAAATAAAAAGGAAAAACTGGGGAGACAGTAATGCAGAAGGGAACGTTTACTTTTATTCACTACTCCTTGTTCGTTCATTTATTTGTTTTTACCATGAACATGTTTTTAAATTTTTATTTTTAAAAAAAGAAACGCCTTCTGGAAGCCTCCTTCAGTTGATCATGCTTGCCTCTAACTCTCAGCACCAACACCACAGAGTCTGTAAATAAAACTGGAATTTATTCAACAAAAGATGTTAAACACCTACTACTGGCACAGAACTCTCCTCGGCCCCTAGAGGTTTCAAAAGAACTTCAGGAGAGGGTTTTGAACTTATATTTATTGATGCTGACTATGTATCAGGCACTTTATATACATATCACATAACTTTGTGAAATAGCCCTCTCCATTTTACAGATGAGGAAACTAGGGCTGAGAAAGGTGATACTGCCTGCTTAAGGTCATAAATAAATAAATGGCAGAACCAAGAGTCTGTATAACTTGAAAACCTCCTTTCCATTGCTCCACATGGCATCAGGAGCCACTTCCACCCTCAAAAACCAACCTTACAAGCGAATTCTAGTTGCTATTTCCAGGTACTTATCATTAAATCTCTTTTCTCCAATCAGATATGAGAATCTAGGAGATAAAGGTGATATGGCCCCGTCAGAGTTGGTTCTAGTAAAGATTTTTTATTTCACCAATTATTCAGTTATTTATTTATTCAACAATTTACTGTGTACCCTACATGTAAGTACTGGGGCAATAATGCCATTAATTTTACTGATATATAAAAGCATTAGCAGGACACTGGGAAAAGGTTAGTTTGGGAGAAAAAAATGAGTTTAATTTTGGCTATTCTGAATTTGTGAAACACCAGCAAGAGTTGTTTGGAGGCAGCTGGCCTAGCAGGCATCTACTTTTTATCTGCTTAGATACCATCCCCCATTCAATTTTCTTTTAGAGAACACCATCTCCCCTCTCATTCCTCATTCCCTCATTCCTGACTAGAGTAAATACCTATATGAGCTAGGCCTAGCCAATCAGAAGAGGCACCTCTATACAGTGATTGGTTCGGGGATAGGCATATGACTAGCACCAAGCCAATGAGACTCAAACTTCATTCTTTTGCTGGAACTACTGGGAAAGAGAAAGGCTTTATTCTGTCTAGGTTGCTAAGGTAGTAAGATGTAAACCTGTTCCTGCTGAGGGCATCTTGCCCCCACAAGATGGGAGGCTTTCTGAAGATGATGCCCATAAAAAGGAAAGCAAAGCAAAAGATGGAGAAAAACTCATTCCTTTATAGGCACCTCAATACAGCTATGTCTGAAGCCCCATACACCTGAACTTTTCAGGTATGCTATCCAATAAAATTCTCTTTTTAGATGTAGCTAGGTTTTCGCTGAGTTTATGACAAAAGAACCCTGAAGAGGGTTGATTGGCAAGTCTATAGCTCAGAAGAGAGATCTTGGCTGGAGACTGAGGTCCTCCCTGGCTTGCTTATTCCCTGAAGGGGAGAATCACTAAACATTTTTGAACCAGGGAGTGACATGATCAGAAGTGCAGGGTGGTAGATGGATTGGGGTTGGGGGAAAGGTAGGAGGCAGGAAGAGTAGCTAGAAGCCTAAGGATAATACAGATATGAGAGGATGGTGACTTAGTCTACAGTGGTGATGACAGGGATGGTGAGATGAAATTTGGAAGATAGTTAGGAGGGGACAGAGAGCACCATTTGGAGGTGAGAGGAAGAGGGGTGGGGCATCATGGGTGGCTCCTGGATTTCTACGCTGGAAACTGAGTAAATGGCAGTGTCATTAATTGAGAATGACATTGGGGAAAGAGTGGGAGTATGGGGAAGAGATGATGAGTTCAACATAGAACATGTTGAAGGTAAGGCATGTGCAGGACATTGAGAGGCAGATGCCTAGGAGAGAGAAGAACACATGGGCCTGGAGCTCCGAAGCAAGAAACTATTTCTCCAAACTTGGAGTGGTCATCACCTAGCTCTGTTTTCCACAGGGTCTGCTGTGGGGCGCCTGGCACTTGGTTCTAGAGAGTGGCTAGCTGGGCACAACCGAGGTCCTGGATAAGAGGATGGGATAGGGCCACCAGGTGGCACCATCAGGTTGAGAGCATAGGAGGCCATGTCATCAGCAGGCTGGTCCAGCTGGGCCAAAGGAGGCTTGGGGCTTTGAAGCAATGCTGGGAGATATGACATTGAAATGGCTACACAGATATAATGGGAGAATCCTTGGAATGTTAGTGTACAACCCTGGCATAAGGTGCAGATTCCCAGAAACTCAGGTGACCAAGGTCTCTGCTGGATTTTTGCATAGATTAGGGCAGGGTCTGTATTAACTCCCAAAGATACTCCCTGAGTTTTGAGAACGCCTTCCCCTTGCCATTCACTCATCTTGAGATCTCTCTCTCATTTATTCATTCAACAATTTGTATTGAGTGCTTAGCACTGTGCTGAATGGTAGAGAAAGAACGGTGAACAAAACAATCATGATCCCACCCTCATAGGGTTTACAGACATTGAGTAAGTAATCACATGATCGCACAAATAATCACAGGCTTTGATAAATGCATTTATGTGGGGCCAGGAGGAAACATATTAGGGGTTTCCAATCTGTAGGTTGGGAGAGATAGGCATTCCCAGTTGAGCTGGAAGAGGAAACTAAGGTCCAGGACAGGGCAGGTGTGCCCATTGTCACACAGGAGTCAGGGCAGTGCTAGATCCAGAAGTGATACTCCTGACCCCTAAATAACAAATTTGGTTTCAGGCTAGACTCTAAGGACACGTCTTCCCACTCCTCTCCCTGCTACCTCGTCTTTTAGGCTACTACCTCTGGAAAAGAAGTTTTGATCTGCAGCATTGACATTTGTTGCCCATAAGCCTCTCTATCCTCCCTTCTCACTCCCTCCAGGTAGGATACAGTCTAATCAGGTTGGCAAGGGCTGGCGGACAGGGCCAGATGACCAGAAAGCTGTGGAGGGAGAAAGAATTTGGGGCTGTCAGGCTGGGAGTAGCTACAGAAGGGCCAGGTGAGAGAGGGCTGGGCCAGAGAAGCAGGATCTGCCAAGCTGGTAACGAATAGGACTCAAGTGCAGGCACTGGGAGGAAGACAGAGTAAAATAGAAGGATGCTCTAATGTCAGGAAGTGACGTTGAGGGAAAGAAGGATGGGGGGTGGAGGGTGAAGAATGGAGGTGAGAATAGAGCTGGGCCACATGAATAGCAGAGAGAGCACTAGGGAAGAAATGCTCAGAGAGCTCTTGGCTTTCAGGCTTCCCCCAAACCCTGTCTCAGACTTCCTCCCTACTCCCACCCTTGGCAGTCCCTGCAGAGGGCTGAGGAGAACAGTCAAATTTTGGAGCCTGTTTCCTAGGAGGCAGGGTACCTTACTAACATCCCGGTCTGATCCATGGCTCTGGTAGAGGTGAGGTAATCACAGGGCAGAGAAGGCACTCTGGTCCCCAAGGACTTTGAGAGGTCATGCAGTCCATTCCCCTGTTTCCCAATACCCAGCACACACAGACAGACGGAATCATATTCTCTTTACCCCTCCCTGGACATGAAGAGGCTCTCAGCTTCTCCCCATGGTCTCGCCTTCCCACAACCCCTCGCTGTGGGGAAGTTCTTCTTAAGACCTAGCTCCTATTCATCCTGCTGCAGTCTCTGACTTGGTTTCTCCTATCCTGTTCTCCGGCACTAGAGAAAGGCCTTCTGGGTGATCACATCTGTTCCTTAGGATCTCCCCTCTAATATTCCTTCCTAATTAGTTGGTTCTTCCCAAGAGCTAAACCCCATCCTTCCTACTGCAGTCCCTGGCATCATTCTCCCTTGTCGCATCCTAGGATGCAAAAGCAGAAATGCATCCCCAACCTCACCACATAATTAACAGAGACAAGGGAGGAGATGGGAGAGGTCCAGGAGGAAGGAGATGAATTAGGGAGATGGAGGCTGGAGGTGATGCTCCACGCAGATGAAGGACCGGGGACGTCCCCGGGGGACAGGGATGGGGCCAGCGGGCCTCACCTGTGTCCGGGTCTCCCAGGAAAGCGTCCTCATCCTTGCGGCCCCTCATAGGGGCCGCGGGCGCCGGCTCATCCTCTGGCAGCCGCGGGAAGCTGGTGATGCTCATGTAGTCCACGGGCGAGTAGGCGCCCAAGGCGCTCTCCTGACTGGCCTCGTTCTCCGCCGCCATCCTCGCCCGCGCCCCCCAGCAACGCAGCGCCTGCCGGAAGTGGTGCGGCGGGGGCCGGGGGGAGGGCGGGGCCTGAGCTCCGAGGCCTCCGGGAAGGGGCGCCTCACCCCCACCCTGGCGCGTGTCCGGGTCTGACTCGCCCCCGCCTGCTTAGCGCTGTCAGCCTGCAGTGGGCGCGCTGGTGGGGATGCAGAGCCTGGAGGGCAGGTCCGGGTGTCGAAGTGAGGACTCGGGGGAAAGAGCACGCTACAAACAGCCCACGGGCCAAATCCCTTCCTCCTTCCAGTCTGAGCTAGAATCCGCAGACCCCAGACTTCCTCCTCAGTCCACAGACCCTTCCACTAACCACAAACCTCTCCTCGACCCCAGATCCTCCTCTGATCCCAAACTCCTCCGACCCACCCCCTCTTTTGACTTCAGATTCCGCTTTCACATCCCCCCACCCCCCAGCCCCAACACCTGCTTCATCTTCAGACTTGCTCCACTTGGAGACCCCTCCTTGGACGGCTCTCCTCAGATGTCAGATCTCTCCATGGACCCCGACACTTCTCAGACTCCTCTTTCAAGCACACCCCCTTCTGGGACTACTGACCCAAACTTGAGTGTGTGTGAGAATCCTTAAAAGCAGATCCTTGGATTCCATTCTCGGGATCATGATTCAGTACGCTGGGGTGGGGTCTCTGGAACCTGAATATTTACCATCATTTTAAGAGTTTTTGATGTAGTTCTGGAAAGGATGCTCTTTAAGAAAAAAAAAATGGGAGTGGTGGTAATGTCAGGAGTGGAGTGGGGTGGAGTGGGGTGGGGTGGCGGAAGTGGGGAGTGGGAGTTGCTCTCTGTAGTCCAGGTGTCTGGGCTCTATTCCTTGGCTACCACTTACAATCTGTGTGATATTGGGCAAGACAATCTCCTTGAGTATCAGTTTCCTCATCTGAAAAATGGAGAGAATAATAGTATCTACTTCAGGGGGTTATGAAGATTAAATAACATGTAGGAAGCTCTTAATATAGGGCTTGCCACCTACTCAATAAATGTCATAATCATTATTATCGTTACCTTAATCTCGTGGGTTCTCATCTCATCCAACCTTATCCATCCTCTTCCCGCTTTCAGAAATTCCAACTGCACTATAGCTTGCGCTACTTCCCCATCTCTAAGGAGGGGGGTGGGTTCCCTCTTTATGAGGCCTCTCATCCAAACTTTTTTCATACAGTTCACAAGCAGAGGGGTCCTGGGCATACATCCCCTCCTCCAACCTCCAACCCCAGGCTCAGAGATGACCTGGACTACTTGAAAAATCTATGGGCCCAGGAGATGCAGTGCCACATGTAGACAGGAGGAGGCAGCAGCGTGTTGGGAACAACTCTAGGACTTGGGAGAAGGGATGAGGAGAGGGGAGAAGGGAGAGGGAAAGGGCTGCCCTGAGCTGTGTGTCTGGGGTGGGAAGGTATATCTGCAACTGTGTGTTCATTGCATGTGCCTTCCTCCCAACAGAGAGGTTAGTATTGTCTCAGTGAGGTCCATAGGGCCTATTATGCTTCAATGAAGTCAAGTGTCCCCACTAAATTAGATCTGTTCCCCCTCAGTGGTGTTCATTCCCTCCATGTAGTGAGAAGCCCCTCAGTAGGGTCAATTTCTCTTTACTAAAGTCTATATCTTATGTATCTCCTACAAGGAAATCCATGTCCCCTCAGTAGGGTCAGTGACTTTCAATGCCATTCACGTCCTTATTAGCAGTGTCCACAGCCCTTCAGTGAGATCTGAGACCCCTCAGCAAGATTTGTGCTCCGTTAGTGAAGTTCATGTACCTTCAGTGAAGTGTGTGCCGCTTCAGGTCAGTTGTCTACTCGATGAAGTATCTGTCTCCTCAGTGGGTTCCAGGTCTGTTCCATGAGGTCTGTACCCCTTCAGGGAGCTGAGACCCTCCCTTCAGGATTGGGTAGGTCCTGGATCATAGGTCTGACCATGGAAATATTTTTTTTTTTCAGTTTAGGGTGTGCTGGGCTTGTGGTTAGCTGGGCAAAGAACAAGGGAGCAGGTGGGAAGGGAGATTGGGCCTGATGGGGTCACAAACCCTGCGTAGACTTTAGGAGGTGGGGGCTGTCCACTTTGGGCCTCAGAATCACTCTTGGAGTTAAATATTTAAGGTTCCTTCTTGCCTTGATAGCCATTCTGATGGGTGGGGGTGGGCCTTTCTTCTTCTTTTTTTTTCTTAGCTGAGCCATCCTACCACCTGTTGGCTGCTCAGCAGCAGTTCAGCTCG